CCTCCTTGTAGCCTGTATCCATGTTTTTACGGTCTCTAAAAAGTCCCGGAGCCAGATTATAGGACTTGTAGCACTCGTGAGAATACAGGTAGAAGAATCATGAGGTACACTAGGCACGAGGAAAAGAATAAAAACAAGCGACACAAAAAGAGTCGCGCGGTATCGGACTGTTTCCAGAATGCTACTGAAATGCTTAGCAGGACAAGCACTGGTGCATGCCGCTGTGCTTAAGCCGTGGACTCGGCATCAATTTCGTGAACATGCGAAAAGAGTTGGCAATGAGCATTCGTGAGAAGGACAATTCGAAAATGATATCAAATTTAGAAGGAAGCGAAGAAGAGCCGTAACAGAACACAGTTTCCTCGCCTAGAGTAGTATTATTAAGGCTGTCCATAATTAGTGTACCAGAATTTCATTAACCTGAAGCACTTGCTCTTAATATACACATGTGCGGTCTACAAAAGATTGTGCACGCACGGGGAACCAATCCATGTCCTTCCCCTGAAATCCGACGAGCTCCTAATTGGAGAAAGACTGGAGGTCAGGTTTGAGACCATCTCACTTAGCGTAAATTCTTCCTAAAGAAGAGCGCTAGAGCAGCCGACTATTGCTCCGCTTCCAAGCTTCGACGACAGCTCATAGCTTCGCGTCGACGTTTTTCTTCTTCGCTGACCCTGACAGTATTGGGAGGTAGTTCCAGCGCAAAGTCCTTCTTGTGTGCCATCAAAATCTTAGAAGTATCAAACTCAGAGGAGGTTGGGCTTTACTGTCCGAATTCTCGAGACGTTTAAGTTAGGCTGTTGTTCCTTGTGGATATGCTAGCATAGCCAGTCACTCCACAACACCGATGAGCATGCAGGATGATCGCTGTAGGAAGTAAGGGAAATCAGAAGGAATATGGCGATGCCAGATCGTGTTTGCAGCTGATTCAGCACAGAGCATGTGAAGTACAACCCTCATATTTTCAAGACTTCACCATTCAATGGTGATGCATCAGTATTGTCATACATAGTAGCACGTCGGAAGCGCCCTGGCAAATGACAGCTTGTCTGTTCTGATTCCTTTTCAATGCCAGTGGGTACAGCAGTGAGATTGCCAGTCACTGGATGGTTGGAGGGTGGATCACCTTCAAACGGAAAAACCGACCCCGTAATAGAATGAACCACAGACGCGCGCCGTGAATTAAGTAAGCGTGCTGTCTCCTATCTTCTGGTTGATCCTCTAAATTGTTTGGCGTATGAACGATCCCGATCGGTAGAGTGAAGAAGAAGCTCAGAAATAGGGAAAAATTGAAGTAATGGCTATGGAAGGCAGTGTGTGAGTTCACTGGCTGGTTACTCAGGTTTTGAATAGGCATCTAATCAAATGATTTCCCTACTTGGGCTTGCAAAGGTCATCAGGGCACCATTAACCGAAAACATACATACGCGTGCAGGAGCCAATCCTAACGAGTAACAGCTTGTTCAGCAAACGTTTAGAGCACAATGACATCGTTTCTTCATTTCTTCGGCCGGCTTCTTGATTTAAAGCAACAGTTCAGGGAGGGTCCGAAAATTTCAATGCCACTACTACTGAGGGATACACGAGCCCTAGTGAAGAACATATGCAGTGGAAATAATAAACGAACTTACCTCAGAAACTCAAAAACAGGGTGGAAAGTCCCTCAAACATGGGTGTTCTTGGGGATTTCCCCAATCCCGCCCCCTTGCCGGCCGTCATTGGACGCGTCGGCAATCGTGCTCGTTTTGGGACCACAGGGAAAATTGATTGAAAAATGGAGCGCGTTTACAGCGGGCACGTTCAGACAACTCGTCCAACGTGCGTCTTTATCCATTGCTGAGCGGCAGAGGGAGAGTACCTGTCTAAGACCCTCCCCGACGTTTTTTTCCAGTTTTTCATACATTAATCGTCTGGTTTTCATCTACAACTTCATTATTGGTGGTTTTTTTCCCGCGAAACCGTTCCTGAACTGTTGCTTTAATACTTATTTCTTCCAACTTCGTATTCCCATGATGTGTGGTGGATAACAATAAAAATTAGCAGAAATTAGCATTCACAATAGTAATGGTAGTATCCCGTCTCAAGCATGAAGAAGCAGGATCTATGCGGAAAAAAATTGCTACTTAAAGTAGTACTCCTTGGACCGAGGACTCAAATAAGACATGAGCATGGAAGCGGCGCGAGACGGAAAAATTTGGAGGTGTGAAGTCAGGCTCTCACTATGGACACACTTCTCTTGATGGGCTTAACCCGATATCTCTATTTAAGCATAGTCTAATGTCGGAAAGCCTTATTCCCAAAAGTTTGAAGCTTTGAAAGCATTCACCTAACTGAAGCAGCCATGCTTGCTGTTGCAAAAATAAATGATCGCAGAGCTGTGAAGACTCACCGGCTATCGTTGAACGCTACGTGCAACTTTGTTCGATCGTCATCGTCGCGTTTCAGTTGAAAATTCTCCCACGTGTGTGATGCTGTAGGACAGAAGTCCAATCTGAACAATATCGCAAATAAATGAATATCAGGGACGGTAGTAAAGTACCCTAGAACTAGCAATCAAATGTGGTGATTTTTCTCCATTTACGAGGAACAGGGAACGTGAAAACATGGACCTGACCCTTTTTGAAACCAGTCCGAATGGATGGAAGCTTTCACTACATCACCACGAGCTCACCACGAGCTCATGGTCACATGATAACTAGCTACTACCGACCCTGGTGAGCATGCGAAGTTGTTTGGGGCGAGACTTGATGACTAGATTTCGTCACGTCGTATTCAATCCTCAAGGGTGCTGTGTTATTGTCATAGAATTTCGAAGAATAATGACCAGAAATATAATTCAGGGTTGAAGGCGATGCTACGCGATGGCGGGTTCCTTGTATGGGGTTCAGTTAGGTGGCGTAAACGCACTGCATCAAAAGTATGAGGGCACGCCAGAAACAGCCTGTTCTGAAGTAGGATCAAGTTTTCATGGTTCGCAACCTTACTTGAATTCACTATGCTCTGAACTATAGCCCACTTCATTTCAAAATCAAGATTGGAACATTTTTATAGAAAAAATTGAAATCCTCCCTGTTTCAAGACAATAAAGACACTCTACCGATCAAAATTTAACTTTTGAATTTATTCTTTCTTCAAACTCATTTGCAACAAAAATGTTTAGTAAAAGCACTATTGCAGTCCTTTTTTTGTATCAACTAACGTTATTGAGTACTCACCGATGTGCTGGGCTTTCGCTCTCCAGAAGGTAATGAATTGCTTCGGTTCCTAGTACCATGAACAGCTATGTGATTCTGTAATACGGTACAATAATAAGAAGAAATGAACCTTTCTTCGAAATTTGTATGTGCACGTATGATGTTATTGTATGTTCAACGGATCAGTGACGGAATCATTTATTAAATAAATGAACAGCTTTGAAAATTTCGGAGAAATTGGTGGGATTATCAGTATGCAACAATTACTGTGGGTCCAAGTAAGAGAAACTCAAAAGTGAGAGTGAAAAGGAAAACAAACCTGAATTTGCTCTAATCGATTCAACAAATATCGCATAGCCCAATAAATTCCTTGTTCTTGCCAGTGAGTTATGAGTAAGGCACGAATAACGGCAACGTCCAGGACGGTTGCCACCTAAACAGATCTTCAGCTTTTACGATCTTTTCATTCTTTTCGAAGACTTTTTGCAAGCTTTGAGTCTCATCCAAAGGGTGGGAGGGGGCACATGGTGCGGCAGTTGCTGCCAATTACAGAGCTTCCAATTCTGTGGAGACAAAATTCTCCCGATCTCCTTTCTCCGCGAAAATTTAGATTGTGTTAGGCAATATGAACTGTCGCACCACATGCTCTACCCCTTCCCTTGTTTCAGTCGATGAGAACCAAGCTCTCCCGACGATGTTTTATCGTATGTCCAAAAGAGAAAAGAGGGCTCAACAACGATCACCTAAGTGGCTTTAGAACCAAGTCCGAGGCACAACGCTACGCTTAGTAGGTCATTAATAAAAACATTTTCTTGATGCATGAAAAGTTAACAGGACGCCATAAGTTTGAATCACAGTTGTAGAAATGTTTAATGAGCTAATGTAAAAACACGTTTCAACAACAAATTTCGCTCTTGTTTCTTGTTTTGAAATATCAAATTTGATTCGAGATAAAACTATTAAAGGTATCGACCGGTTCTCAGCAAGCCACATGCTTTCGAAGGATTTTGCTTGTTCATCTTTTCCCCACTCTACAAATGGAGGCGATTGACTGGAACATGATTCTATCCATTAAATATGTAAAGAAAGCATAAAAACCAGCATCTAGTCCCCGATCAATGACATTTCATGGCTGGCATTTAGAGGTAAAGTGGATAACTCACCATCGGATCCGGTTGACAGCTATCTTCCAGGTCATCGTCAGTACTTCCAGTAACATCTGCTGTTCTGAACGATGTTGACGTCCCGGACCAATACTGGAATCAGATTTTAGCAGCACCTCGAACTTTAAATGAGGCGAGAATAACTTTTGCTGGCCTCTTGTATCGTATCTATTTCCAGGATTTTAACAAGCTTCCAGAAATTGGATGTTGAAACTAGAAAAGTCAACAAAGCGACAACCAAACCCACCAGGTTGAACACGAGCTGTTTCCGCTGTGTGATATGATGTGACCAGTTCTGATGGCTTTGGAGGAGGTCGAGCAGGAATCACTGTGTGTTGGCTGGATGACGATGCGGTATCGTCGGCAGTAGACGCTGTAAATTAACCGTATCGAATTAGCGCTGACCAATTAGAGTTGGCTTTGTGCTACCTGTACCTCTAGTAAGAACAACAGGTGGCGTGTCCCGTGGAACGACGTTCAACGTGCCGGCTTCCCTGCATTGCAGCCACTCGGTCGTAACCGATCACGAAAAATCGGTTTATGACAAAGATCGCAGATCACCTTAAATATCGATCGGTATGATTATCAAATATAGATGATCTAAGGCGGAGAACAAAAGAATCATGTTAACGGTCGCTGAAAAAAAGTGCTCAGATTTTGTGGTGTTGAAATTTGACTACTGAACATCTTCTCACTCGCGGATCCCCAGCGGCGCTCACAATGTCATATGGTACTGGATAGTTACCATTCGCATTCGCACAAAAGTTAGGCGCTGTATTTGAGTACGGGACAAATGGTCCAACAGAAGCAGATCATGTGTGAGTCCCGCTGAAAAAATGCCTTTCTTCTCTGAGGCTTTCCAAATTAAACGTAGTTTAGGTTGAAAACAGCACAAAATATTGATGCCTCTAACATCAGGAGTATTACAGATGCACTTTGAAGAGTTGAGGCCATCCCTGATCCTCAGCATATTCAAGATCTACTACCAGAACAGTAGTGATGATGTGGTCTCGTTTGAGTATCTTTACTGGCTAGCTTTCGTTGTACTAACAGCTTCTTCAGACTTGAATTAATCAAGCTTTTAACATACCTATGACTGACATAACTGTATTTCTTAACAAGTAAAGCTACACGAATGTGTGATCAGATTATCGCAGGCAAATCGTAAGTTCTGCAGTGAATTATGCACAGAAACGACAATGTAAGCTACACAATGTTATCAGGAAGGACTACTCAGCCCTCACACCACTCCCAACCATTTAACCAATTCCTAAAAACTGATGCGCGTGACACTGTTAGGTATTCTAATAACGCCAAAACCGCAGCTTTCATCCACCGAGCTGTTATACAGAGACTTAGCGAGCCATGACGATATTTTACACGAGTCCTCATCATCACTACCTTCCTAGAAACGATCTGCAAGCACTTTTGTTCAAACGCCTGTCCAATTAAAATAGGTCAAACCTCAACGCTGGTGGATTCGTAGCCGTTTTCACTGGTTTCTAATGAGTAACCGCTACAAATATCATGGAGATTCACCAGTGGAGCATCACTAGGGCAAAATACGCCGGACAAGTGAGTTGTTATCCTGAAGATAATTGGAAAACTTCAAAAAAGGAATGAAAAAAGTAAAATAGATGTGGGATCTTAAACTAACAGATGATGTAATCATAACCCATGTCTACCTCGGTGAACTTCAACGCTGTGTCGACTTCATCTAACATCTGTAAGGAGCTCTCGGAGGCTGAAAATGGGACCGCTTGGTGAGTTAAAGGGTAGAAAATAACAAATAAATATCAACTGAATAAATAAATGAACAGAGTACGGAAAGACCAACAACATATGGACTAACTAGGACTCATATCGAAGGCGTTGGTCGTATTGCTCTTAGCTATTCGATCCCGGGCTTGATTCATCGATTCACCGGTTTTGTATTCACTAACACTTCGAACTATACATGGGCACTTGTTGAAGGTGATGGTAACTGATCGTGAACGTCCGTCAGCGGTTGCTGAAGTTGAGGGTTTGCCTGAAAGGAAATCAATACATCATAGTCTTAGGAAGTATTGAGGTTCTGGCATGTGTAGGGTTTGTTATAGCCTGTCCAAGATTACAGTGCTTTTTACTACAATATGTTCACGTTCCGGCCCCCTTCGCCTTCTTCCGAGCCTGAAAATCGTTAAGCAATTGAGACCGATCCTTTCGCGGGCCAGTATTTGGAGAAAAAGGGTCCTTTAATGTGTTCCTGCTCTTTACTATCAGACAGCCCTCTTGCACTATGTTATGCTACATTCTCTATAGTTCACCTAAATATCACAGACCTAGTTCGCTAAGCAGTGCAGAAATCAATGTCTCGTACACTCAGTTATGCCACAGCAGTGGAATTGGTCTCTCTGACTCCCCACGCGAGACCCCAACACTTTGGAAAAGATCGGCCCACGAAGCCGCACTTTCAAGGCACAAAAATTGGTGCAGTACCAACGCTTGTCCACCTGTCTACTACAACCCAGGAAAGGAACAGGTGAGTGTGCCAAACACCGGAGCGTGCCTTTAAAGCGAGAGATTACGATAAAGTGCGTATGCAGCGTGGAAGTACATGCACCATTGGAAGCAGTAGTCAGGGGCCCAAGGAAACGAAATGTTGCGTTTTTGTGGTCAAAGGTGCGCTAGTTGCAGCGTACAAGGCTTGCCATTCCTTTCTGAGCCCCGCCACGGTCTGTGCTCCGCCCCCAGCAGCAGCGCCCTTCGATTGCCAATGTGACGATATTCCACTTCCAGAGTGTATCCTATAACTTTTCATATAGATGCGTGATCAATCAAGATGCTTGTTTCTGAAGTGATATAGGGCCAATTCAGCATAACATTCAACGACCGACCTCCTAATTGGTTGCTAGCTCGTCCATTATCGGAGGTCAACGGGCAAAGAAAGGGGTCCCATTTTGCGCCTTCTTGACGGATTTCTTTGCTTTTTTCGCCACTGGGGCATTATTCAGCATCTCCACTTCCACTATGAACCCAGTCCAAACTTATCGTAATCCCTCGCTTTAATGCTGTCAAGTAACGTATGGTATTAATGGAGAATGGATGTGAAGCACAGTAGGGATAAAGTGTTCAACGTCGTGAGATGCCCTTCCCTCCAGATTACCACTTTAGGGAGTGGTGGAGAATTCTAGTATCTGCACATTTGCCTGCTACGGCTGACTGGCAGATGCTTTCGTTCATAGACCACCCAAGTGGCAGCAACGCAATTTTGCCGTGAATCACTTCTACGACGAGAGCAAAGTGTCTCTGCGAAATATTCTGTGAACGATGGGATTAAGAAAATGGAATTGAAAAATAGTTTCCAAGGAACAAATCAGCTAAACGGAATGACCGGCGCTATCGCAAGGTGCAGGGGCATTCTTGGGCAACACTCTAAAACTAAGAGTAATATGGGAAAAACAAAATTGTTCGCTTATCCTGGAGTTTTCTCCACCCCCGCCAAAGGCTTGGTCTCCATTTTAAGAAAAGTTTCAAAGCACATTCCCACCAAAAATGCCTTCGTATCTGCGATAGCGCCGAATGGTCTTTTTCCATATGGGAACAAGCCTAATAATCATTTGGCAAGCGCATACTGAAGATAGGCCATTTTATTCAGCATTATGGACTAAGTCGAAAGAATCGCTCACCAGACATCGGGACTTGTTGTCCTTTAAAATTAGCCTCATTAAAGAGTCTAGCGACTGTTGTTTTACGCTTCTCAGACAGGGAGTGTAGCTTGCGAAGCCGAACGTAAACCGTCAACAATAAATTTGCCACTTATTGGCTTCAATCCCCTTTGTAAGATCAACGTTTGAATTTTCGTGAGGGTTAAGTATAATGAATGACGATTTCGTGTCTTGATTTGCAAAAATGGCAGTATTTGAAATCTACAATGAAACTTCGTATAACTCCTTCGGCATTAGAAAACTACGAGTTGTATCAGGCCATCTTTTTGTACAGTATCAACAAACGAACTCTAGCAACGTAGCCGCGCTCCCGTTCCCGGTACATTCGGCTTTCCGCTCCTTTTCGCGTTGTTTCTCGAGCTCACGTCGGCGTTTCTCGTCCAGAACGGCTCGATCAGTTCGTGGTGGTTTCGGTGGGCGGAACAATTGATAACCGGCGAGGGTTTCTCCTGTCTT